TCACCCCTTCCCCTTCACTCCCAGCTCCCTTTATGGAACTCTTTTCTGTGTAGGCATGACCAGTGGGAGCAGGCCTCTTCAGCCAGCCTGCCCCCCCCCCCCCGCCCCGAGAAAGGGACTATAATTCATAAAGGGGACAGACAAAGAAACAAGCAGCTGTGATCATTGCTTTACATCTGCACCACACTGGACATGTCCACACACACCTTTAACCCCAGCACTCAGGAGGCAGAGGCTGGCATACGACAGCCTGGTCTACATAGCAAAGTCCTGTCTCAAAAGAAAAAAAAATATATTGCTTAAAAAAATGGAGGAACCAAAGGACTGAATTTTCTTCTGAGACTTCTGAAGTTGAAAACACAGTAATCCAAATGTAAGTCAACAGAACTATTTACTCTCCAAATCTGCGGGGCAACTCCAGTCGCATCAGTATAGAAGTAATGGGATACTGAGCAGAAAGAAAGGACAGAACATTTAAAATAAAACTCCTCAAACTTGATGAAAAAGTTTAAGGTACACATAACTCAGGCAAATCCAAGTAGCATAAACACGAGAAGATACACAGATATGCATTTGTTAAAAGGTAGAAAGGTAGAAAACCATAAAAGCAACAGGAGGAAAACAATTGATCACATACAAGAGAACTTGAGGAAACTAACAACTGACTTAGAAACTGTCACTGTGCTAAGTGGAGGAAAGAGATTGGTTGAGAGCGAGCAGAGGCCAGTAGACCAGAATGCCAGTGAAGCCGAAAACCAGTCCACAGAAGCAGCTGATAAAGCTGAGAAAATCCATCTAGCTTTGAGCTGCCATCTACTTCTTTACTCTTCTAAGAGTAAAGCTCAGTTCTCAAACTCTTCACAAATGCTGTCCAAAAAAAATTTCTCTTTTATATGTGTACTTGCAATAAATTTACCTTTCTTATTATAACTTTCATGGGTTCGTATTACTGAAAATAAATCCAATCTTAGTTTTTACTAAATTGATTTGTATCTTCTGAACATTTACAATATGGTTTATCTATATTTTTGCATGCAGTATTTTTAAACCGCCTTGTTTTTTGTTAGCAGGCTTATGGAACCTGACCTCTTTATACTTGGATTCTAAAATATGTAATTATTTTAAGGATTCTTCTCAAAACTCCTACTTAAAGTCTTACCTTTAATTTGTTATAATTGAGAAGGATTTTGAGGGCTAGCAAAAAGGCTCAACTGGTAAAGCTGCTTGCTGCACAAGCCTGGCAACATGCGCTCAGTCCCCAGAACCCATGTAAATGTGGAAGGAGAGGACCATCTACACAAAATCATCCTCTGGTCACCACGTGTGTGCCGTGTATACCCACCCAAACATCACACACTCGTGCATTCGTACACACACACACACTTGCATGCAACAATAGTAAGAAGTAACAGAAAACTTTTAAAAGAATTTTGAATAGGTTGGGTCACTCTTGTATTTTCGTGTGTGTCTTCAATCATGGACAAACAAGGGCTGTCAGGGCCTCACTGAGAACACTCTCTGGCAGTCCCGTGTAACCCTAAAAGGAGCCGTCCGCTTGACAAACGTTCTTCATTAGAGCCTCACATACAAAGAAGAAAGTCTGGCAGAAACACAGATGATTAATGTCACAGCGGGGAAAGCTCCATCTGTGTCTCTGCTTCGGTTTACTGTGCGTGCGAATTAGATTTTCCTTCTGCAACTATGCTAGGTGTATTTCTTCATTCTCGCTGCCCTTTTTTGACACTTTAGTGTGAATTCCAGTCACTACTTTATAAGCTATGAAAATGTGCTAGTCTACAAATAGCATTACCTCATTTCAATTCTTACACGAGATGAAAATAGAAGTCCCAACAGTTTTCCTGTTTGATAAACTTACTTTGAAACTGCTAAAAAGGACGTAAAGCGAGAATCACGCTGACACTCAGTTTGCTCTGCTAATGGGTTAAACTAAATGTTACAGTGGCCTTTTTCCAGAGGTGAAATATACAAACTGTTTCTGAAAACTGAGGTAGTCATCACTTCCTAGACACTAGCAATGAATGGGGATGAGGGTGTGGGTGCTCGCAGTCCTGACCGCTGCTGAGTGTAAGTCAACGCTGGCAACTTCCTCGCCTGTCTATAGACAAACATTGCTGGAGAAATCAGCAAAGGTAGCGCTGTGCCCAGCACATAGTAGGTGCTCGGTGTCGGGACTCCTGCTAGATCGGTAATAGCGCTACTGAAATCACAGTTACCTGGGAAGTAACAAACCTCTGAGAAACATGCAAGGACCCCAGACGTTCTCCGTGGGTACAGAAAGCACTGAGGCCCATGGGACCTTGCAAATTTACCAACACTGCCCATTTCTTCCCTTTGTTTGCGGTGTCATCTTTGGGTCATTAGAACCCCTATTCAGTTCACTGTAGGAGTCTGATGTTTTCACATAACTGCGTTTATGAAAATGCATTTGGGGAGCATTTCCCTAGTAACCTTTTCTTAGTTGGCCACATTGAGCAGCGAGGGGGCAAAATTTAGTAATCATTAAATTTGGCTGATAGGTACATAGTTGCCAATTGTACTTATTTTCTCCAATTTATATATATTTGAAGGATACAATATTACCTGCATTATATATATGCAATATGTATATGTACACATATGCAATAACTACAGCTTGTCCAAATTTACTCTTCCTACCTCGCCATCTCAGTCCACCAACTCTTAAAGGATCCTTGCTGTCGCTACACCTGGACTGTAGAGTTAACTAATTCCCTGCAGGAGTTAAGTATTACAACACCTACCTCTTACCCTGAAAAATTCAGGAACATTCATAGACTTAATTCATTTTACAAAGATATTAAAGAAAACACATATTAGGTTTGGTCTGGATACTTTGTTCATATTAAAACCACAAAAATACTAAAAGTAAAATCTTAGAAACCTTCAAGTTTCTAAACTGGAAGTACAATGCGTACGTAGATAACAACTGATTACAAAGAGGGTTTTTAAGCACTTTAAAAAGAAACCAAAACCGCTATCAACATTATTAAACACTAGAGAAATCAAGATATGGACCCAGAACAATTGCAAGCTAAATCAAAGATTCTTCAAATGCTGCTGTAGAGGGAAATAGCTTAATATCAGACAAAGACAAATTTGCATTAATGCAGTATAGTTATCATGTAGCACATAAAAGTATGAGAAACTGGCCGGGTAGTGGTGGCGCACGCCTTTAATCCCGGCACTCGGGGGAAGAGGCAGGTGGATCTCTTTGAGTTTGAGGCCAGTCTGGTCTACAGGAGCTAGTGCTAGGACAGCCTCCAAAGCTACAGAGAAACCCTGTCTTAAAAAAAAAAGTAAGAGAAACTAATAAATATAAAATTAATCGAAGCAAATTACTTTCTCTCCATCTTGTGGTGTCTTTTTGGTCCTTCTGTTTGCAGAGCCTAATAGGAATCAGAAATGTTTCCAAAATTCCAAAGGACTGTTTTATTGGTCAGTTTTTTGTTACTGTCATGAAATACCAAAGAGAGGCTAATTTGTACAGAAAACCTGTTTTATTTAGCTAATGGTTTGGGATTCTAAAAAAAATCTACCTTGTCTGCCTCACCTCAGGGTAGACTGCAATCTCAAGAGCGATGGCTACATGGTAGGACGGGAATCCAGACAAACACTGAGGTGAAACAAGGTTTAAGCCTTTCCTCACAATCCTCTTGAAAGAACTGATAATTGCTTTTTAGAACCCCCATTTGGCATAACTGCCCACGGAGCCCCACCTAATAAAGCTTTCACCTCCTATCATCATACTAAAGACCAAGACCTCAACACATAAACCTTTGAAGAAACAAATATCAGAACCCCAGAAGTGGGTTGAAAACATTAAGAACTAGCATGATGTTCTGAATTGTAGTAAGACTGGGCAATAAGAAAAATCAGTACTCTTGGAAGATATTGTGGGTGTACATGGAGATTTCCCAGGCGCTGACTTCTTAGTCAGTTTTCTGCCTTGTGTAAAAGTAATCCTATTTCAAAACTTTGTTTCCCCTGTTGAGATTAACAGGAAGCATTTATGGTCTCAGTAGTGTTTTGACAGGAAGCTATGCAAGGGCCCCATGTAAGCCCGCATAGCTGGCTGAGGCTTACAATGAAAGATCGCAACAGCAATGGCTGAAGACTACTCCAACAGTAACTAGGCATCCTCCGGACAGCTGAGCTTGAACGGTTAACGTCTCAGTTTGCTGGAATGTCTTCACCGAGAGAGAGACCAGGAGCCCTGCTTCATGAAACAGGAGATGGGCAGAAAGGTGGCCCTGCAAACAGGTGCTCAGAGAAGAGAAATAAAAGCATCATTCTTCGTCTACATAGGCACCCTGGTGCAATTCCAACCACTGGAGAGTGAGTGGAGGTGAATGAACTGTACCCACGTCTTACAAATCAATGGTCTAGTTGGGGATTTAGCAGTGGTAAGTCTACAAAACTCAATTAGTGCTTTCTCGGTTCTTGAAAGGTAGGACAGACAGTATGTCAATCCCAAGGAACAAGTATTTTATTCTACAAGACAGATTTATCATCTTATATTCTTGGAGACCAGCAGTCTAGGGCAGCAAGGATGTGTTCCTTTCAGAGGTATCAAAGATCTGTCCGTTCTCTCCTCCAGCCTCACAGTCTGCCTACATTCCCCACCCATGGCTCCTCCCTCCCTCTACCAACGAGGAACACAGCATCTTATTATGCTTCGTTCTGACTCCCTACTCTAAAGGTTCTTGTGGTTAGATTAGCCTACAAGGGAGTTCAGGATGACCTTCTTCTCAGCATCAGGGCCTTGCTTGCATCTGGAGACTACCTCTGCTGTGTGAAGTTATGTACTCATGAGTTGTGGGCGTCTTCATAATATGTATTTACTAAATGATTATCACAAGTATACGCCCAGTTATTTGGAGAAGATGTAGTGAGCGCATTGTTATTAAAGGTATTTACATGTTTCTTATGTCCATCTCTTTGTTTTTTTTTTTTTTCTTAAGGATGTTGAAGAATCACAAAACCACCCTGGCGAACCCATTGGAGATGACTACAAAAAGATGGGAACACTTTTTGGTGAACTGAACAAAACCCTCCTCAGCATGGGCTTCACACGGATGTATTTTGGAGAGCGAATTGTGGAACCAGTAGTGGTCATTTTCTTTTGGCTCATGCTATGGTTCCTTGGCCTACAAGCCCTTGGACTAGTTGCTGTTCTTTGCCTTGTCATTATTTATGTACAGCAGTAAAACACTGGACATTTGGTAGCCATGTATGTGGGTGATAGAGCTACAGACTTGGGCTTTTTGAAAGCCAAAGAGTTTGGCATATTTCATATTGTATACTAACTGTTTTGTAATTAAAGTTATAAATGAATTTCTTTAAAATGCAACTTTTTGTTAGTACAAGGATGAATATATATTTTTGACTATATATTAGCTTATTCAAACTCTTTTTCACTCCTGTGATCTGTACCTACCTTTCGACACCTGCTTCCCCATGCCAAATCTGATGGGGCAAATAGCCTGGCATGGAGCAGCAGTGGAGCAATGCAGATCTTGTAAAGTTCCAGTGAATCATTTTGGAAGAAAAAGGAAAAATGAACTAAGAATAAGTTTTAATTGGAAAACTGTTCCACCCCCACCTTCACTGAAAAATCCCATTTGAGGGAGATACTTGTCTGTCTGTCTTCTCTGCATAGTCCAAAACAAGTAAGTGATAACTGCCACACACCACCATGGAGCTATGAAAATGAACGATGCCAGCTGTTTCCTAAAGACTGAAAATACCGTATTTATTATTGGTGGTTAAGTTTGGGGGCTAAATGTAAGTTTTTATGTGTTATACCTGAGCCTTCATTACATTGTAACGTTAGAGATGATTCTGGTGCTCATTTCTTCCTGTGAGTTTTTAAGGCTGCACGCCTGGCAGTGCCTGTAATTTGTACCTAGCCAATTGCATGTTTTTCCTAGAGACGTTCTCAGTGCATTTGTTTCCAAAAGTTTATAATTTTATAGTTCTTTTCTAACAATTATTCTAAGGTTTAAAACAATGCCTTTTTCTGTCATGGCATGGAGTTTTTCCAAAAAAGAATGATTTCTATCTTATAAAAGAAAAAAATCACATCATTTTTCTTTGATATCTGTATTGAAGAATACAAAAGTACAAAATAAAATACATGCTTAAATTGAGAACTCAGTAGCCATTTGTAATATTCTAGGATTAAAGTCAATTGACTAGCCATGTTTTTAATGTTTACTATGGGGTTTTATATTGAAGTAAGCATTTCTTTAAATATACTTTGAAAAATAAAAATGGCTGATACTTTTGGTTTTGTTAAAGAACCTAAAATCTTTATACTTTTATCTAAGAGTCATCTAATTGAACAAAGAAACTTAAATACAAAAATGGGGCAGCGAGGTATTTTTGTTTGGCAGGGCGTTAACTAAAGCAATAGGGTGTTTACTGGGCCACTTTGTAAAGCCCTTACTCATGCCATTTTGAACATTATTCTGTAGGAAATTTCAAAATAGAAAATTATGAAAGCAGGAACACTAACATGTACTGTGCATCTGTGTGTTGTGTATAAACACGGGCCTCTAAAATTTGGCTTTTGAAAAACAAAAAAAAAGTTTGTGCTGTCCGTGTCTTTATTGTGTTCGCGATATTTTTGTAAATCACCTTTCTGAGATGAGTATCAGGGCAGGGTGTTTGGAAAAAGGGCCCTTTGCATCCGGTAGGATTGCAAGGTTCTAACAGAGGCCGGGAGACTTTGCATATGTGCACAAAATGCTAATGAGCACTTTCTTCCCTAGCACTACCAGGAAGGCTGATTTCCTTTCAGAATGCAAAATAAAAGCAGTGGACATAACAGCAGCTCTGGTCCTACCCGTGCTTCTCGTTAGGAATGCTTTAAAGGAAGCCCTAGCATTTATACATAACACCCTCTCAATGCTATGTATGTGCACACTCGTGTTAACGGGCGTGTTTTATGGAGAAATAGGCTGCACTTGCTGCTCTCACCTCCACATACATTATGGATTAATGTAGTGTGCCATTAAAGTTTTGCTTAGTATTGAAAAAAAACGTGACATAAAATATTTTCTCTTCTTCAACATGTTAGAATATCGATTGTACTGTTATCCTGAAGTCAAACCTCATTTCTTTGGTTCACAGTGTAAAAAAAAAAAAAAAAAAAAAAAAAAAAAAAAAAAAAAAAAAGTAGATTCAAAATAATTCTCAGTTATCTCAGTTTTAAACGTAAATTATAGAAAAGTTACTTACAAACCAAGAAACAACAGTTAAGTGCTAAGGTCCTTGAACTGCTGGTGTGCATGGCGTCCTGTGTTCAAAGGAAAAGTCAGGAGCTAACCCCAGCCGACCACACATCAGCAGACCCCTTCGCTTTGAACTGAGCAGTATTTTGCACAACTCACTTTCTTGTGTTACGTGGCCATTCTAATCAGAACAGGGTACATCTGTACACAGGAGCCGCTCGCACTGGCTAACAAGAGCCTCTACTGTATATTGTCCTGCCTCTAGTGATAGCAAGTTAGTAGATTAAATTGGCTATGGTGAAAATATTTACATCATAAAATTTGCTAAAACTACAAAGAAGGACGTTTTTTTTTTCCTAGAGAGCCAGCTAAAAAAAAAAAAAAAAACTCAGCATATTCCCAATCAGCCACCCTGGAAGCCACATTCCCATGGCCACCACAGTCTTCAAAGAAAAGACAGCATGTATTATGAAACAAGAGAAGCACATGCAGTATGTCCCCACAAACCCAGGTACCCAGAGCCACTGTGGCGTCTTCTCCACGTGGAGGTCGGACCACAGTTGTCTCTGAAGTATGTGTCTGATTGGACATTTTGATGAGAGAAAAGTCTCTCTGAGCTGTCAGTGAGCTGCAGATCCAGAAAGGAAGAGGCAGGAGATCAGGAGAAGAGAGACAAGACTTAAGACACCATGATTTGGGGCTGAAGTAAAAGCCAGTTGAAATTTCAAACCTTAGAAACAGTCCAATCCAGGCAGTGGGAGGCCCAGAGATCTTTGGTTTATAGCGTCTATTTAAGTCATTTTACAGATGTTTGTTGATTACAATGATTGAAACCGCTTTCGCCTTACAAAGTGAACAAAAGAAAACAATCAGATCATACTTTCAGACCTGTTAAAACTCTGGTAAATAACTGGCCAGGACACACGTGTGTGTTAAAAAAGAATACACAGGTCAAGGCTTTGACATTATTGGTGGATTTCATCTTTTATAACTACTATTTCTCTGCCCGAGACTTAAAATTTGGTCCTTGGAGGTCAGACCAGCGCCTGCTCTTTCATTCCTCCACACATCTCCTGTTTGTTGCTCTTTGTCTACTAACGGCTACATTTGCATCTCCAGGTCAGAGCACTGGGCAGACTAGAGGATCCCCCAGTTTAAGGGCTGGCTTGCTTGCTTGCTTGCTTGCTTGCTTGCTTGCTTACAAAATTCCTCAAAACAAAAAGACCTCACCATCTTTCTCCAAAGGCTTTTCTTTGCATACCTCTCCCCTTCAGCATTGGCACAATTCTCTCCCCAGCTATTGAGGAGGAACGGTAAATCCAATCTCCAGCTCCTATCTCTCCCTCGCTGCCCACATATAACCAGCTGCCTGTTTTGTTTCTAGGAACTTCTTTTCTCTTCATTCCCAGCATCACTCAGCCCACGCAGCCATCTTCTCACCTGGGAAAGTCTCACCTCTGAGAATCCTAATCAGTATCCCCACCTTCACTGCCCACTCCGGATTTAAGTAATACTTCTAAACTATGACTTGGAGCTCCTTGATTTCAATGTTTTTAATGCTTCTTGTTGCTGCTATGGCAAAACCTACACTCTCTAATAGCTGTGTGACCTTTCATGAACTATTCTTCCCCCCTCATCTTTCCACGCCACTGCCCTTTCCAAGACACTAAGTGCTTTTCTCAGTTCCTTGAAAGAGACACACTTTCCCCCAGAACTTCATATGTGCTTGACTCTCTGTAGCTCCAACCCCTGCCTCACCTGGCCAACAACTACATGGAGTACTCAAAGTAAGCATCCTTTAACTTCCCCCTTAAGTACACTTTGGGCACCTCATGTGCCCCTTTTTATCCAGAAATTGATCAGCACACTCAAGCCTATTTGTCAGTTCCTTCCACTAGATAGTGGGCTTCTCAGGGGCAGAGAGCACGTCTACTGGTCTACTGTGTCTATAGTTACACTGCCAGTGCCTACCAGGACACCTGCATGGACCAGGTTCTCAATGAGTAAATCCACCTCATATCTTCACATTCTCCCTGTTGTCCATTAATAGAGAAGCCCAGAGGTAGTGGCTTGTGACCCTATGGTAGTATGCTTGCCTAACGTGCTTAAAGCCCTGGGTTCCTTCCCCAGTATTGAGAAGGAAAAGGAAAAAAAAAAAAAAAAGAAGGAAGACCTAGAGTTGGTTGTATATCAGAGTTCTTTGGCTCCAAAAGTAGTAGTTGTTCATAAGGAGAATGGTTGGGCATGTATATTATAATGACATTTATTCATTGATTACTGTAGCCGTTTGTACACATACATATACAGCATTGCTACCATACGTTCACACTTTTAGGGGACATGCATGGTTGATGCCGATAGATATGCTTACTGATGGTACTAAAATTTCATCCTATCAATATTTTTCTGTCGAGTTTTATCTGCTAAATTTACATTTTTTTTCAAGGACAACTTATAAACAAAAATTTTCAAATATCTGATCTAAATATTTTGGGCTCCAGAACAAGTTCACCATTCCACTTAGCCTGGTAGCCCAAATGTTCTATTTTAAAAGCAAGTATATGAGGCACTTTGCTAACCTGTCTAGTAAACAATGTTCTTTTCCAAGCCTGTGGATGTTCTCAGCATCTCCTCTGTCCCCCTGCACCCTGTGTGACTGACTCCTCAGGTAATCGCTGCCACATCAGGTTTGGAAATTGCCAGAATAACAGCACACCTGAGGCAGAGTAAATTGTACCTACTCATTGCTGCAGCTGGAGCAGAAAGCCAGAGCCCACCGTGTGTGTGTGTGTGTGTGTGTGTGTGTGTGTGTGTGTGTGCATGTTTGTATGTGTGGACCTTAACCCAGTAGAGAAGTAGGAAAACTGAGGTCAAGATCACCTTCTACCTCCATGCTGTGTGTATTCTTTCTGTTGATTTGGCTGTTGTATAACTTAGAATTCTGGAAGAATTTTAGAGGCCCAGTGAAGTTCAGAACAGGCATTCATATGCTTAGAAAATGTGAGCTAATTTGCAACAATTAACATCTTAATTTAAATTTCCCAGAACATTAGAGAGTAAAGTGACTTATCAGGAGTATGAATCTTTACCTCCATGTTATGATCATGCAATTTAAAATGCCTTTTTTTTGATTAAGAAATTAAAAGTCTACATACAAGTATTATTAATTGTGCAAGTTGACTTTAGAAAAAAATTTAATTCTTCCTCTTTAGAGTAATATGTAAAAACACCGCCCCGGCCTGAGAATATACGTCATGCACTGAGCCCTTCTCTGGCTTGTTGCAGTCACTTTGTTACTGAGCTTTCTAGGTTCTAGGTAGGTGACATTAAAAACAGACATGATGCATTCCAATAGCGAACGCATTTTCTCTTCTGAGGCGTAAGCATATGTGTATGAGTACAGCATAAAAACAAAGCCTAAGAAGACAAAAGGAACCATTCTCCCTTGATGTTTGTTTGGAAGATTGTTTTAGTTAGGGTTCCTATTATTGTGAAGAGACACCATGGCCGTGGCAACTCATATAAAGAAAAACATTTAACTGGGGCTCACTCACTGCTCAGAGGTTTAGTCAGTTATCATCACGGCAGGCAGATATGGTTCTGGAGAAGGAGCTGAGAGTTCTTACATATTAACTGATGGGCAACAGGAAGTGGTCTGTCTCACTGGGTGTGGCTTGAGCATATATGAGACTTCAAAGCCCACCTCGCTGGTGACACACTTCCTCCAACAAAACCACACCTACTCCAACAAGGCCTCACCTCCTAAAAGTGCCACTCCCTTTGGGGGCCATTGTCTTTCAAACCACCACAAAGGTGAACAATAAATTAGTCTTGCCTATAAAACCATGATGATATAATTTTCCTTACTAGGTGAAGTATTTAAGTGTGAAATCAGTTTGATTTGCTTTCACTTCAATCCTACTTGAGTATTCTGTATACAGAGGCATATAAAACTGTGGTTGTGTTCTGATAATTCCAACATGAGTTAAAAATATCTTTCATGGGTCAGCAATACATTTAACCTTAACGCACAAGACTATCATAGTTTAACAGATTGGCATGAAGAGTGTTAATTATTTACACCCATGATCCTATGAATGATTTGAGAGCTGTGGCTCATTGCCGTATCACACAAGACTGCCTTCCTGCATATCCCTAACCTGGGAGCTGATCAAAACCAAATTTTGAAGTACAGTCTATACTGAATGGTGGTGTTTTTACACCATTATAAAGTTAAAAACTAGTTAATCAAACCATGTTCACCGGGGATAATCTATGCAACTAAAGCAGAAGAGCAAGGCTGCTGTGGTACTGACTCTAGGTCAAGTTCCCTGGGAAGCTGGCTCAGAACAATTTAGCAGGCAGGGAAACATCAGGGAGGCCCTGGGACCAGCACTTGAAAAGGCATGAGCTCTGGTGGAGAATGTCTAAAGCATAGTCAGAACATGCCTAGGGAGCACCGTGGAGTCCTTCTACACTTACATACTGGCAGAAGGCAGTGATCTTTGGCCAAAAACAATCTTCAAATATGTCTTCAGGATGGAGTTGGCCAGCTAGCAGATATCAATGTAAAGCCTTCAGTCTCTGGGAAAATCAGTATCTACATCTACAGTAACAGCATCTACTCTACCCTCCATTCTTTTCTTCCCTCCCCTTCCCATAGTGCCTGAGTCCTTCCAGAAGACCCGTTCCTAGCT